CGAGGGAGTGGCGCTGGAGAAAAGTAAGTGTTTAACCCCTTCCTCATTCTAGAGCCCAGCATGAGGGTGGGGGGTGGGACCTAAAGACCATATAGTGCTGGGAAAACTAGTTTGTTTTCCTGGCACTATAGTGGTCCTTTAAGTGACAACTATTTAATCTTGACAGACCAAGTAAAAAAAGGCCGCATCTGTGTATATTGCTTAGTTCATGCAAAGTGTAATTTTTAAGTTCCTTACCACTTTTCACACGATTTACACAGAGAGAAAGCACAGTTTGCTTGTTGAGATGTATTTCTGAGTTCCCATGAAAATAGTGGAACATTAGCATATTGCTATACTCTTTGACTTCTAATCAAATTTTTACCTTTCATTCTTGCAAGAGGGTCCATTTAGATATCCAAATTGGAGAGCACACAAACAACTACCCAGAGATAGCTGCAAAGGACAAACTGACAGAGCTGCAGCTCCGAGTTAGACAACTTCTCGATCAAGTGGAGCAAATACAAAAGGAGCAGAACTACCAAAGGGTGAGTTGGGAAGATGAAAAATCTTCTGAATATGAGAATCTGCAGAGCATATGGAGGAAAGTGGGCAGGGCAGCTGAATGTGCAGTATCATAACCATTCACCTTCACGGAAATCTATTGCTGGTGCAAGGGACAGATATTGGGGCATCTGTGGTGTATGTGCATTAAACAAAAATTAGGGAAAATCTATTAGTGGTAAGATATGTCAGTAGCAGTGGTTTAGAAGATGAATAATAAAATGCAGGATTTTACCGACTGCAAGGGCATAAGAGGGAAGACTACACTAGAAGCAGTGATGGCTAACCTTGGCACTGCAGATCTGAGGGGAGTCTCTAAAATAAAATTTAAAATATTGGAAACATGTTTGTGATATTGTTTGTATTTGTTTTTTGTTGGTTTCTTGGGGGAGGGTGGAGGTGTCTAAGAAATAAAAATAAATATTATGATCGCATCATTATTTTTATTTAGTGTTTTAAGTCGTAAGAAAGTGAATGCTGAGTTGTGACAGAAGTGAAAATATATATTACTCACTTAAACTTATATGCAACCTTTTCAGTACCGTGAGGAGAGATTCCGTCTGACCAGCGAGAGTACAAACCAGCGCGTACTGTGGTGGTCCGTTGCCCAGACTCTTATACTTATCCTTACCGGCATCTGGCAAATGAGACATCTCAAGAGCTTCTTCGAGGCCAAGAAACTGGTGTGAAGATTCTACATCCACATACATACCCAGTCTGCCTCCATAGATTTAATTATTGATCTTTCCCAAACTCCACTCTTCTTTACATACAGATTTCCTTAAATATGGCCTTTTTTCTCTTACACATACAATTCCCCATACCCTAGACAATCAGAAAAGGAAACAGACTTCATACCTACTCACAGACATGCTGATGAGATTCTTTCCATGCAGGCACGTCACGAACCGGCGGGGGGGGAAGCAATGCAATACTAGCAGAGATCACTCAGGTGTCGCCTCAATTTTTACCAAATTAATCCTCCCACAGTTTACCATTTATCTGCTGGTGGTTGTCAGAATAAGGGATGGATAGGGGTAAAGGTTGGCTATTCTCAGCTACGGGATGGACTGATACCAAAAGGGTTGCTGTAACTTCCAGTTTATCCACGCCAAGAGTTTTGGTTCACACTGAACAAAGCCCACTACCATCTTCATTGGCCCTGAGACTACCAACAGTGCATTCTTCGCAACAAAGTTTGATCTCAATCTGCAACCACATGGACGTTGAGAGTGTGAATATCTTTACAAAACAAATTTTTAATACTTCACAGCCAAACAGAATGTCCTACTCCTGTGTCTATGTATAGAAAAGCTGCTTGTCTAAAGGTGCCAGGATCTTAAGAGTATCACACACTGGATTTGTAGCAAAAAGAACTACTTCAACTACACTACAAAGTAACGGTTGATAACCAGTAAAGTCAGTTTGACCTCTTTCCTGGCTGTAGCCTTTCATACAGAGAAGCTAGTTATGATGTTCACTGCTATTTCCTGTATAAGAACTGTACCCTTTTGTTACTATTACTAGTTAAGTGCAAAGCCAGCAAGGAGAAGGTATTCATGTTTGCAGTAAAAATGTGGTAAATGTATTTCACTTTTTAGTTTCTATGTTATGTGTTTCTGTCTTCTATCTGTTACTTTCTCAGAACCTAACACAATAGTTCTTTATTCCTGGACTGGGCCCCCTTGTCATTTTAGCGAGTCACTATTGGTTTTAACATGCACATCAGGCCTGGGCAGCTGCCCACAGTAACTTGTCTATTAACATTGTTTTTCCCTATTGATACTAACAGTGTTATTAGGGTGTGTAACATGTATTTTAAAGTTAATTACAGAGATAGATGAAGAATGGATCACTAAGCTAATTTTTCATAAAATATTTCAAAATGAATCCCTGACAAATCCACTTGGAACCACTGAGTTAAACCTTTCACTATAGATGGATTTTCTGCTTACACCGTGGGAATCCCCTGTATTACACAATGCATAGATGAGATGTGCAGAGAGTAAATGCTGTTTTCAGTAACTCTTAAGTTCAGCACTGGTTGATCTTCATCTTGCATTTCAAGAAGAGCTGTTGGGATGCAGTTGCCCTGGCACAAGCATTGCAGAAAATGCTTTAGAAAAGTAGGTTATTTTTCTTTCCCATGACAAGTGTGCATGCACAAAATGTACACTGGATATTTTTAACTCTACGATAAAACTAGTACAGAATTAGTTCTAGATTAAGCCTTACTGTTAGGCTAAATTTTTTTATTTAGGGATATTAGATAATGGCTTTAACCTATGTGTTTACTTCAATTTTCATTTACTGTTTAAGAGCATAATTTTACTTTATTAGATAAAACGGTATGTATTTTTCTACATACACATTTTCTCTTGAGTGGGCACAATCCACACAGTCTACCCCAATTTACTATTGTAACCTGATTGGGATAGTGTGTACAATGGTATAAGACCTTCACTGTCTGACGGCTGACACTGTGGGGTGCTAACCGCACAAATCGGCGTGTAAGGGGTGGAGCTTAATAAAACTTAAAGGAACACTATAGTCACTAGAACAACTACAGCTTAATGTAGTGATTCTGGCGTATATAGACTGTCCCTGCAGGCTTTTCAATATAAATGCCGCCTTTTCAGAGGCCATTTATATTGATTTCTAGTAACCACTTTAGTGGAAGTCACTCAGACATCCAGTAGAGATGCTTTGTGTGCAGCACAGGGGTTCAGCACAGGGGTTCAGCGTCTCCATGCTGTGCATGGAGGTGCTGAACATTCTTTATAGCGATGCGTTGATTCAATGCATCTCTATGAAGAGAAGCTTTGTGCAATGCAGCGTTTTGATGCGCATTCACAACAGCCTCTCATTGCTTTCCCTTGAGCATTGGATTGGCTGAGATCATCAAAATTGACAATCTCAGCAACAGAGGCAGTGGTAAGTAAAATCACTTTTTCAGGCTGATCTAAGGGGTGGCTGGGGCTTTAAACCTCCACACAGGCACTATAGTATGTTCATATTCCTGACACTATAGTGTTCCTGCATACTGGTTTAACACTGCTTGTGCTACAACACTATATATTTTACTTTTGCTTCTGTGAATGAATCAGTTGTTTAAATTTTAACATCACTTTAAAGGGACAGTCCAGGGTGGATTTACTATCCATTTTAATATGCATAAATAATGTACGTATAACAAATCTATTTATCCGTCAGGGAATATTTAAATGCCTCCGCTAATCCAACTCATTTCATTGCAATCTGTTAGAAAGTTACAAATGTTCCATAAATCCTGCTGAATTAAAATAGGCCAGATCCTGCTGTATGGAAACTGCACTCATGTGAGTGAACTAAAACCAACAAACTTTGAAAAGTATGTTTGTTTTGTTTTTTAATTCACCCTCTAGCTAGCACTGTGTTCCTGCTTGTCCAAGCTCCTGCTTGTCCAAGCTCCTGTACAGCTTGAAAATGAATAGTAGGGGTGTCTAGGAAATGTAACGTGTTGGTTCCTGATGGTTAGAGCTTAAATGCAGGTGACATATATTATACACACAAAATTTGGGTTTGAGAATTTTTTTTTTTTAATTTCCTTTCTGTGTGATGCTGTTTCCTTGCATTACTACACCTTTAATGTCTGGAGTGTCCCTTTAATGTGAATTTGTCTCAGAATGTCTATACACGCAGACAGTGTTCAGTACTAGTTCTACAGAATTATAATTGATTATTGTTTGAGATTATTAAGAAACATGCAGACTAAAAGCTTAGTTTCATTATGTGGCTGTTGGGATGTAGTTTTTGCTATTCTTCGCAGGAAATGTCAGATTCGATCTATTATTAGACTACATATTCCATAACTGCCAGCCACATCTTACCCTCTTTTTATGGAATGAGAGAGCTTTCAGGGGGGAAAAGAACCTCAAAGTGGAATGTGGGTTTCATGCCACTGGTTGTACACCCACTGCCATGTACATATATGCACTGATAGTTTTAAAACATAATATTAATAGCCAAAATTGAGAAAACACTAAGATAGGTTCCCTTGGCTCATTCCATGAAGTTTAATGCACACATCTGCTAATGTCACAATTAAAAAAACAAACAAAACATAAGTGTCCCCTCTTGTGTGATATGTTATTTTGTAAGTTGTGGGGTGCGAGGAAAAATGATTCAGGGCTGTCATTTTTGGAATTGTAATAAAATGAATAAGAATAATGATATTTGTAAAATAAATTAATGGGTCAAAGCAGTTACATGTTTGACTTTATATTGATGTGTTTCCAGTGACTGCATGTTTAGGAAGGAGAGAAAGTACATGTGAATACTGAGCAGGTATATGTCTCCTCAAATAGGACCTGTCACTTCTATGCACAAGACAGTTTTTAAAGAAAACAAATCAAAAGGATAAAAAAAAGTTTCTACTTCATCCTAGAGTCTTTATCAAGTCAGACTGACTGACTTGAATAACACTCCCGGATGGAGTTGAAATGTCTTTTGGCTGGTACCGATTAAAGTCATCTTACGACTTGTTTGCCCAAATTTCTTCATGATACTGAGAATATGCTGCTCCCCTCCGTTGAACACAAGTGTGGAGAAATGTTGATGTGTGCTATGTCTTTTGATTTATGGAAGCTATAGGACAAACTTGAAAAAGGAGTGAAATCCAATACTAAAACTAAACATTTGGCATTATAGGACTATAACTTTAATAGCGGTCACATAATCCAAAACTACTACACAAAAGTATATAAATGTAGAATGTAAACCCATCCGCATATTTAACTATTTGCATTCCGACAGTTTTCATTTAAAGGAACAGAGGAGCACACAGTAGTGGTTAAGGTGCCATGAGTGACCTGGCACCCCCAGTGGAAATAGCCAAATCATTTAATTCTCTGACTTCTTACTCTGGGGTCTGCCAGGCACAGGTCCCTGCCTTTTTAACAGCCAGAAGCTCTCTGCCTGAGCTAAGCCAATGGTGCAGGGCTTAAAGGAACATGCTGCTCAGGTTCTCCCTGAGCCTGGCCTTTGGGATATCCCTCCCAGTTCAGCAAGGGGGAATGACATCAACTAAGGATGATCGTGCTGCAGTATGGAATCGGATATGTTGTGCCTTTAAAAATAAAAAATGATTAGGGGGAGAGGACCTTTCCCACAAGTGTTATTAAACAACAAAACACTGTTTTGGATGTAGTAACTATTTTTGTTTGGACTAACCTATTTTAAAGGGAACCTATAGTTCCCCCCCCCAAAAAAAACAACAAAAAAATTAGTTTGGGAATATAGGTTGCTCTCTGTCCACCACCGTTTGCAGCTTAAAGTAGAAATGTGAAAGAGATTACTCGCCTCCTTTCCAACACTGGGATACCTGTGCTGCAGCCTACGTCTCTGGTGGTGTCCGCATTCATGTTGACATCACGGGCATTATCCTCCAATCTTTTGCTTTTCATAGAGCAGCAATGGTTTGGACTAGGCATGCACAGCCACATTCTCCACTCCTCCAATCAAATGCTGTTTTCAGCACCATTTAATTTTGAGACATAGTTTTACATGATCTGGAGGAGGAAGTCCCTGTAGTGCCTGTCCAGTAGATAACTAATAGAGGTGGATTTTACCCTGCAATATAAATATTGCAATTTCTTTAAAATAATTAAAAAGTAAAAGCTGCAATGTTTTACATTGCAGGCTTATGTGAAAGAACCACTGCACTCAGACCCCTTCAATACAATTCTTTATTGTTTAGTGTTCCTTTAAGCTAAAGTGTTTTGACACTTAGAGTATCCATTTAAATTACAGACATGCCTGTTTCAGTTTTCAAATGTTCAGTTTTCATTAGTTGGTTTATATTGAACTATATAACATCCCACTCCACTGCACACTACCCACTCTTGGGATAACATTTGCAAAAGTGGACAACTTACACTATTTTGTATGGGGCATTTTGAGTCTTTTCACTACGCTGTTTCATAACCAATTTCTGACAAAGTTTGCATTACATTTTATTTTTTACATATACATATTGCATCATAAAGGTAAATTGTACACACTTTGTGCATTCTATTAATTCATAGACTGAGGATTTGTATTCTGCTTCATCTCTGACAGCTGCACCTTCTTCATCATTCCACCAAGGTGGGCATGGATGGTGAGCTGGTTCGGGGGTGCAATGGGCCACTTGACTGGATTTTCCCCCAGGTCTGAGGCTGCCAGCCCTCCCCTGGTCACTCTGTCACCCCCTCCCTCAGTCACTGTCACCAGTATAGGAATGTGAAAGGGGTTTAGATGGTTTATAATATGGATTGATCTTTTGATTAATCAAAGGCTCTGCCAGGTGTGAAACTCTACACTTGAGATGCCTGGATGTCTAGTTCCAATGTAAACTAACTGACTTTAACCATATGGTCTGTACCTCTTAGTTGATGAGTTAATTTCTTTGATATGTTAATGATCATTAGTAGACATGCGCAATTCGTTTCGGTCCGCATGTGAATTTGGACGAATTTTGGGCAATTCGGACATTCGGGTACTTCTGAATGTCCGAATAGATGAATTGCTGAATGGTCGAAGTTCCGAATTTCCAAAGTGTCGAAGTTCCGAAGCACAGTATTGCCTAAGAACTATTATACTAACCCAGTGGAAGAATGAAGAATGTTACACTGTATACAATTTTAATAAAAAGTATACAAACATAGCCAGGATTCAGCTGTAAGCATTTGCAACACTTACAACTATCAAGTAACATACATTCATTTAAAATGTAAGTTACTTAGCCAGTCAGTGTAATTACAGGAATGAATAAGTAGATAACTCCCTAATTCCCATGGTATTAGGGAGCTATCTACTAATAGGCTGAATGACCTAAATTGGTCTTTCAGCCAAATTTACTAATACTAAGTAAAGATTACTTAGTATTAGTAAATTATGCCCCTACTCGCTATACCGCCAGTAGGGGCATGAGCAATGCTGCGCGCGCTGCACGAGTGGGGGCTTCTAACCCCCCTGGCCCCCACCCCTGAACGGCAGGTGGGGGCCCTACAGTAAAATAAGGGGGGGAACCTAATGTCCTCCCCCCTGGCCCACACCCCTGAGCAGTGTGTGGGGGCCCTAATACTAAAAGGGGGGGACCTAATGTCCTCCCCCCTGGCCCCCACCCCTGAGCGGTGGGTGGGGGCTCTAAAGAAATGTAAAAAATGACCAAAATCTTTTTATTAACAGTATATAAAAACAGTAAAAGTATCCAAACGCGTTTCGCCAGTATAAGGCTTTATCAATGGATAACCACTGGTGGTTATCCATTGATAAAGCCTTATACTGGCGAAACGCGTTTGGATACTTTTACTGTTTTTATATACTGTTAATAAAAAAGATTTTGGTCATTTTTTACGTTTATACCATCATCTTTTACTATTACCTGGCCTTTTATATATTTTATACTATATATTTTTTATTATTATTTTTATCTCCTGGGTACTATACTCCAAAGAATCCTAGGTGGGGATTATACCACCTACGCTGTTACATAGAGCAGTTAGCCTGCCCTATATACTGTTTCCATTTTTATTTCCAACTTGGTCACCTGCCACTACATAGAAGAGGACACTTGCCGTATATCCTGCAAGCGGGGATAATACCACTGTAAGCCATTCACACCAGAGCTGGTTTAAGCTCTGTCAACTGTAAGTAAGACCTCTTCTATTTTTACTACTTTGGATCATCCTTTATGTCACTGACATCCTCTGGATATCGCAACAAGTAGAACTTTGGAGACAACAACATAGATCCTATTGGACTTGATATTATCATTTATTGTATATATTGGTGCAAACCCATCCCCCCATTTTTTGCTTTTGTTAACTGGAATTTGTTTATGCTTTCAATATATTTTTCAATGTTTTCAACTGTTGGGGTTTGAGGTATGTTATATAAGTTACTATAAAATGTATTGAATTGTTGTCCTATTTCTTTGGGAGTTGTTACTATATTTCCATTATTTATTAATTTTTCCGCTCTGTTCTGTCCCTTTTGTTTTCTAAGTTTTTGGGATAACATTTTACCAGCTCTATTGCCTTTAGAATAATATTTTAATTTTAATCTATCCATACTTCTAGCAGTTCTTTCCATGAGTTTTTGCTTTATATTTTCTTTCATTACTAATATTTTTTCGGGAGACGGAGATTGTTTATTTGTTTGAGTCAAATTTCTTAGTTGAGTATATAAGTAGGATAAGGTAGTCTTTTTATTGACCTGGCTTTGGAGCTTGATAAAATGACCTCTTATTACAGCCTTAAAGGCTGGGTCAATAATTTCTATATTATTTTCTTGAAAATAATTTTTTATATTATTTTTTTATATAGGTTTTATTTAATTCGGAACCAAGCAAAGTATCATTTAAACGCCAGTTTTATGCTTCCCTCTCAAGTTTACAGACACCTATTTCACACGAGACTCCATTATGATCCGTCCACACTATTTCATTAATATCTATTTTTTTAATCATATCAATAAGACTTGGATCTGTCCAGATCATGTCCAATCTTGAGTAAGAGTAATGGACTTTAGAGAAATGCGTATAGTCCATTTTGCTGGGGTTATGAATTATCCAAATATGTAACAAATTGAATTTGTCTTTGATTTTCTTTAAAGCTTTAGCTTGTTTCACCACTATTTGATTTAATTTATTTCCTTTCATTAATTTTTTGTCTATTTGTGGATCTAAAACTGCATTAAAGTCTCCAGCCAGTATTAAATTTCCCACTTTAATTTCTTCTATTTTTTCTAATACCGTTCTTAGGTAAGAGACTGGTGAATAATTTGGAAGACACACATTACAGAGTGTTAATAAAATGGAGTTAATTTTACATATTATGACCATAAATCTACCTTTAACATCCTGTACTTGATGAATAATTTCTACCTTAATTTTTTCTCCAAATACTATAGCTACTCCACATTTTTTTTTGTCTTTATCAGAAGCATGTGAGATAAGCAGGAACTTTTTGCATCCTTCTCTACCTCATAATCTCTAATATCTTCCCTCATTGTTGCAAAAACATACATATACCAAAAAAAAACATATATTTAAAAACTTGTAGCACAAAAGACTGTAAATTCTCCACTTGAGAATCAGTCTTTACTGTGTCTTTAATTTTAGACACTAAGTAGGTGTGTCCGGAATGAGGTGATGCCACTTAATAATCACACACACAAAATGAATTCTCTTTTTATCTTTTCTTTTCCTTTCTTTTCTCTTTCTTCCTTGTTCTTCCCTTAGTTTGATTCACAAAACCCTATGTGCTAATCGTATATCTTATAATCAGTGTTACTTTATTAAATTTTCTGTAAATCTTATCTTAAGTGTCCCCAATTTTACTCTATTTTTTCCTTTCCTTTCTACCAGCCTCCCCCTCTCTATTTTTTTTCGGTTGTGTTTATCTCTTCTTATCTTAATTAATTAGTGTTTCTCTCATCGTAAATTTATGTAAATAAATGTTTATCATCTATTTTTTGTATGCACTGTGACTATTTTTTGCTCAGAATACATATTCCTTTATTAAGTTCTGCCTTTGTCTGGTTAAGAATCACGTTACTTTAAGAGACTAATTCATGTTTTGTAATTGCATAGGTATTGTGCTAAGTTGTATGTGGTGGGTTTTTAGTATTAAGTTACCTGGGAGACCAAGGCAACCCATTTATAAATTGTCATGCTGGTGGCAGGGTCAAAATAGTAATATTTGTATTATTATGGTTGAGTGTGGGTGGTGTTAAGTGGGATTTTATCATTATTTCCGCTCTAGTGCATTTTTTTTAAAATTCTTTATTTTTGATATGCAGGTAGTTACAACAGTGCCTGTATCGCCACAACGGCATCAGCAGGCTCAATTTTCATGCACATAATATAACAGTGTTGTGGCATGTTGGATTTGCATATAATTTTTGAAATAATAAGGAATAACGAGTCGAGATGTCAACGTTTGTGTATTAATTAACCCGCTTATGTAATGCGTTGCTTGACAAGGCTTAAAAGTTAAGCTTACAGTACACCGGGACTGTAAGTGTCCCTGATTACTAAGCTGCCGAGTAGTGGGGCATTGGTAACAGTGACTACGTGGCAGCGGTCTGATCAGAGGTTAACAGGGGTTTCCCTTCTTGTTTAACAGTAATTCGCCCTGTCTAGTTAGCTAGGTGAAAACGATTAAATGATTTGAGACATAAGCGTTTATGCAGTACAAGGCTTAACTGTGGAACTTAACCTATGCTGGAATAGTACATGTAATAAATGGTATAACAGGGGGTCATTATGGATTAGACCAAGGTATGTGTGTCTAGGGACTACATGCTAAGGTCAACAAATAGGTGATGCACACTTCGTGAGGAGCTTGCTTTGTCTGAGGCTTTACATGTCATTATAGCCACGCTTAAATATAACGTAAACAGGATTCTTTCCTAAGGATTACTAAGTAAGTCAGTTGATGGTCCGTACATGACTGTTTTAAGTATGTTAGTAGGCAGTAAAGAGGTGCGCAATAGTCAGCTCCAGTCAGCGACTGTGGGGCTAAGGGTATTCAGGCTTATAAACCCTGGTGTCTGAGTATTGGGGCAGGGTGACTTGTGCTGTCAGCTAAGGTGTGTGACTTAGGAGTGTCCGTGAGGCTGAAATCATAAACATTAACGATAATATACTGTGAAAATTAACTGTGCCTGGCTGTCTAATTGTAGGTATATTAGCAGGTACCAGACAGTTCACTTCAGTTCCTCTAGAGTCTCTCAGCCCACTCCCACTGTCGGTAAGATGGCGTCCCCAGAAGTGGTGTTGTGTGAATTTTCCTGCCAGGGTGAGAGTCGACCAGTCAGTAGATGGCTGAGGCCTGTGGATAGTCCGTTTGCACCTGCGGGGTGTTGTAGCTTGGTACTCCATGTGATGAGGTGCCTAGAGGCCCCTGTAGCTTTGCTGTAAGTTTCGTGTGGGTGCCTGCTCTTGACTCGCGGCTGCTTGATGGTTTTAGCCGTTCCCTTTGGGTGCAAGCCTCCTGGTTCTCCCATACGTCGATCTCTCGTTCTAGGAGGGCCGTATTGAGCAGTGGATGACTTCGAGTAGTCTGTGGCTCTTTCTCCCTGGCTTCTGTGGTTTGGGGGCTGATCGGGTTTCATGCTCTTGGAGGGTGAGTGCCGCTTCTTATCAGTTGTCCCCTCAGCTGGTGCCCCTCTGCGCCACAGTTTCCACCAGAAATCCCAGAATAGTGCGTCCAGCCGCTATTCATAGTTGTCCAGCAAGCCATGCGTTGTCGGTATGGCAGGCGCCATTTTGGCCATGACTGTGCCGCACTGCAGCTTGTGTGGATCAGGTAAGATTTATCAGTCGCTTGGTTGATTGTGCCGGGATATCCCTCACCGGCAGGGGGGGTGAACGGGGTCTTGAGTGTCGCAGCGTTTTCCCGCGGAGCTGCTGGCGGGGGGGTCGGCCGCCTCTCCCGCGCCTGCACCAGGTGGTAGGCCGCAACCCTGTAACCGCTTCAGATTGCTTCTCCAATTCCGGCGAGCTGGCCAATTGAGCCTCGGGATATCACCGCTACTCTGGTTTGTTAGATTAGGGAGTTCGGTGAGATATTTTAGGGCTAAGTCGCTTGTTTGCCGGTTCTCGCACGGAGCTCTGTCTTGGTGCGACCAGCCTGCTCGGCAGTCAGGCCCCGCCCCCCACGGAGAAATATTTTTAAAGGGAAAGATCCAAGTTAAAGTAGAAGTGGTATCAGCGTAGGTGGTATAATCCCCACCGGGGATGCTTTGTGAGGTCCTCACTGGGGAGATAAGAACTTGATGCCAGGTATAAAAAGGAAAAAGCAAAGGTATATGGTACTAATATTGGTAGTAAAAGATAACAAAACCTTTATTAAGACAATGAAAATGTAAAATTAAATCCATTTTATATTTTCTTTTACAAGGTTTTGTATCTTTTACTATCAATATTAGTACCATATACCTTTGCTTTTCCCTTTTTATACCTGGCATCAAATTTTTATCTCCCCAGTGAGGACCTCACAAAGCATCCCTGGTGGGGATTATACCAACTACGCTGATTACACCGAGCAAGTTATCTTTGAGTATTATTCATTTATTTCTTCCCCTGGATATATTTTAAACAGAGAGCACTATCTGTTGTACCTTTGTTTTTACTTTCACATATCCTGCTGACAAGATACACTCTGGCCTATACCTCCCATCATATCCTTGAAGTGGGGGGAATAATACCACTGCAAGTGCTTCACACTAGAGCTGGTTTTAAGCTCTATTCCATGTGAGTAGGCCATTTGGATTTTATTTTAGTCTTTACACTTTTGAAACATATTGCACTATTGGAACTCTTTTCTTCTCTTTTATGTCCCTGGACCTCAACTATCTGGAAGACATACTTACCTGGAGATAGAGGCAAACTCTTATAGACTTATCCTTACCTATATACTTTATTTTGGACTTTATTGGCTTGTTTGCTTTTATGTATTACTGACTTTATACCATCTTATTTAAAACGTACTGTTTTACTTCAGTTCTTTTATTTAGTATTACGTCACCCCCTACCCCCTGGCGCACCCGACAGTCTTGTATTGCTGTTTGTCCTTATTGGGTTTTTAGGAGAGATTTACCCATTTAGGTGTGCTGCCTCCCTGTCCTCTTACTTAGCACTATTCCACTCTTTGTTTTTGGTATGTTTTTGGTCCCCGGACCGAGGCTGGGGAGATCCAGCTGGTTTATGCAGGGCCGGCGCTATCCAAGCGACGGCCCTGCTGTGTTCCATGAAGTGCCAGTGGGGAGATCAAAGTTCTCCCTCACCAGCCCACATGCTCTCAAACGCGGCCGCCGGCGGGGAGAGAGGGAGGGAGACAGCCAGCCTGGAGAGGGGACCCGACGGAGCAATAACTTGCAGCTCCGCCGGGTTTCTCTTGCGAGATCCGGACCGTTGCCATGGCAACCGGCCGGGTCTCGCAAGAGTGAACTCTAGCCCCAAAGGGCTAGAGTTCACTTACCATGAGGACCACCAGGGATGGCTGGCAGCAGCACGACCCCCCTCCTTCCAGGATACAGGTAAGAATGGAGGGGGGGATATAATGTATTTATTTTTCTAATAAAAAAAAAAGAAATTAATACTGGCATTTACCTGCCTCCCCCAATACTCAATCCTTGCAAACACACACATCACCCTCACCCAGCACCCTAACACTCACACAGCACCCTAACACAGCACCCTAACACCAGCACCCTAACACTCACCCAGCACCATAACACACACACAGCACCCTAACATTGACACATCACCCTAACATTGACACATCACCCTAACACACACAGCACCCTAACACATACACAGCAACCTAGCACACACACATCACCCTAATACACACAGCACCCCAACATACATCACCCTCACTCACATAGCACCCCCAAATACACAGAACCCTCACCAGGGCCGGACTGGGGATTCCAAAGCAGCCCTGGAAAAAAAAATCTATGCCAGCCCCATAAGTCATTGCGCCATATATTGTTGCATGTAATATGTAAGGCTATGTCTTGCAACCCTAGATGATTGAGATATATATATATATAAAAAACCAAACGGATCTTGCACTCCACCAATTCAATATTCAATGCCCGGTGCTTGTCGGCCAAAAATGCAAAAAATATTGCCGGAGATAGCACTCCAAGGACTAATATAAAATATAACTTTTATTACCTCCACTAAAACAACACAAGGTCAACGTTTCAGCTTGATCCCCTCAAGCTTTCGTCAGGACATCTCCTGACGAAAGCTTGAGGGGATCAAGCTGAAACGTTGACCTTGTGTTGTTTTAGTGGAGGTAATAAAAGTTATATTTTATATTAGTCCTTGGAGTGCTATCTCTGGCAATATTATATATATATATATATCTTTTTCCAATATAAAATATTGGTCCTTTCAGAGTAAAATTTTTAATTATACAGTAAGCACATGCATACACAGAATCTCACTGACAAGCTGATTGATACACAGCCTCATACATAAGGTTATTGACATAAAAACACAAGCTCACTCAGTAGCAGGCACACACACACACACACACACACAAGCAAGCGCGCGCACACACACACAGCTTAATGTAGTGGTGGTGTCTATAGCCTGTCCCTGCAGGCTTTTCAATGTAAACACTGACTTTTAAGAGAAAAGGCAGTGTTTACATTGCTTCCTAGTGACAGACACTCAGACGGTCACTAGAGGTGCTTCCTGTGTCAGTGCGGATTGGCTGAGATCATCAAGCTTGATGATCTCAGCCGTAGAATGGTCAGGGACAAGCCAAGGTCGAGGGAGCCAGAAGACAGGTAAGCAAATAACAAGCCGAGTCAAAGGGAAGGAGAAAACAGAATAGTCAAAATCAGAGCCAAGTCAAATACCAAGTACTTTTTATATGTTGGCTCTTTAAGTGATGGCCGCCCCCCAAAACGTTCTAATTCAAAGGTTTCGGCAGGCCGTGACGTCATTGACGTCATGACGTTGGCGCACATGCGCCACGTCATAAAAAGGGGCAGAGCTACCGCGGCTGGCGTCTGAACGGCCGAGATGAGCGGAGGGAATTATCCCCATCATGAGGAAGATGCCCCACAGGCTGGAGTCCTGCCAGGGCAGAAACAACAGGTACCCTTACAAATGGGCAGCTGTGATCAGCCGAGAAAGTTATATAACTGCTTTCAGCCAATCACACCACTTATTGCAGGTATAAAATGGTATGGCTAGAAGGATAAATATTAATGATGTCGGTTGTCACTGCTTCCAAACTACATCATACTCACCCTAAGCGTCTGTGACTGACCCGCTGCCACTCCGACCGAGTACCTCCGCCAATCGATGCTCCTAGTGCTTGCCGAGGACTCCAAGCACTCCAACCGACACCATCAGCACTGCAGACTTATCCCATCCCCCAAGCATGAGCCAAGGCTTCAAGAAAGGGTCAAGCAGGTCTGTTTAATGAGCACACAAAAGCAACAGCACTCATGCAGCAAAACAACTCCTCCTCAGAGGAAAACAAAATGACCGTTAAGTTCAGTCAGTGTTTGAATATATGACAGTTATTGGAAGTTGCAGAACTGTGCCAGTACCAGTTAAAGGGCCAAAACAGTCTTTTAAAACACCAATAAGTCCAAATGGTGTTTCTAACTGGCAAAATCTCACAGGGACCATAGTCATACGGCAAGAGGCTGGTAATTAGTGCTCTCCAGGCACAAGTGGTACCTGAGTTAGTCGAGTAGCCCACCCACAACAAACAAGCACTGCCCCTGGTGATTCCTGGTGTCTGGCTCTGGCTTGTATGTCCCAGGCTGCTGAGGGGAACTAGTGGGCAGAGGCCAGCGGCGCTCTGCTCTGATGCCAGCGCTTCTGCTGGATTGGCCGGTGGGTATTCAGGTTTTGAACAAGAGGGCAAGGGAGGGCAGAGGCTGACCGCACTCTGCCCGGATGCCAGCTCTTCTGCTGGAAGGGGGTCAGTGGAGGCTAACATCTTCTCCACTAAACCCAGTACCGGGTTAGGGGTTGGCTGTGGAGGGGAGGGTCGCCTACCTCCTCCTCCTGGTACTCCTGCTGCCGCTGGGGAGCGAGACCGGTTGTCTCCTCTCCCTGGGGCTCCAACTGCAGTAGGGGAGATCTGGGCCGACTGCCCAGCATCCCTGTAGGGCCGGTGGAGAGACCTCGATCCCATCTCCACCTGCCGTTTGGGGGTCCTCCAAGGACCAGCCCATGAGGTCCCCTATCTCGGTTACCTCTGGTTGCTGTTGGGAAGGGAGACCGGTTGTCTCCTCTCCCGATAAAACATACTGCCGCTGGGGAGGAAAGACGACACCTTCTGCTCCCTGGGAGGCACACTGCTGCTGGGGAGGGAGACCGATTGTCTCCACTCCCTGTAGGATACACTGCCGCTGGGGAGGGGGACCAGTTGTCTACTCTCCCTGTGAGATGTACTGCCGCTGGGGAGTAGGACTGCCTGTCCTTACTCCCGGTACTTCCAGCTGCAGCTGGGGATCTGGGCCAACTGCCCAGCATCCCTGAAGGGCCGGTGGAGAGACCTATCTCCACCTGCCAGTTGGGGTTCCTCCCAGGACCAGTCTATGAGATCCCCCAGGACTTGGGAATAAGGACCACCTGTCTCCTCTCTCTGTACCTCTGGCTGCAACTGGAGATCTGGGCCGGCTGCCCAGCATCCCTGAAGGGCCGGTGGAGAGACCTCGGTCCCATCTCCACCTGCCAGTTGGGGTTCCTCCCAGGACCAGTCTATGAGATCCGCTACCTTGGGTACCTTTGGTTGCTGCTGGGTTGTCCCCAGCCCCAGTCTCCACAATCTGAACTTACATTCCTGTGCTGCTTGGTTCTCCTCATCCAACTCTTCCATGATACGGATGATCACCTCTTCTGAAGGGTCTGGGCCATACTCGACTAGCCGCCTCTTTACCTCCGTGATGTAAGCGTCGTCCTCATAGCAATAGGTCATGTTTGCTTGGCCCCACTCATACGGCAAGAGGCTGGTAATTAGTCCTCTCCAGGCACAAGTGGCGAAGGGCACTTCGTCACAGTGTCTCTCTCAGATCCTTACCTACGGTGTGGTTTTTATTGTCTGAATATGGCCAGCTATCGTACTATAAACGTAATCAGGCAAAGGCACAGGAAATACCTATACATCTAAATCCATTTCTGATGCCTAGACTTAAAAGGTAGCACAGCTTTAAGTGAACTACTTCCTATATTACATACTTAAAAATCAAGCTGTGAAGAAACATTATATTAAAAAAAAAACTTTAATTACACGGCTATGGCTCGTACCCCCCTCTGCAGATCAGCTTAAGTACCGTGAAAGCGACCCATCTGGTCATCTTAAACCTCTGGGTAAGTCTCTGGGAGAACAGCACAATACCTCAGGCTGGCCTCATGGTACTCTTCCTCGGATTGACTCTAAGCTGCTACCGGCAACATTTCTATCGGGTGGCATTCCCACCACGAACATGGGATCGGGGTGCTATTTTGCCAGGTTGGGTGCTCTGGGACAAGCAAAGCTAGAGATACCAAATTTTTGAGGGTTATTATTAGTTTTCAAGTTGTTTTTCAGGGATATTCATGTCAGGTGCCTATATGTCTGGAGGTTAATTGAATTAGTGGTGCTTAATTTCATCATTTCCCAGACACAGAGGTGCCTAGGTGGGCTCACCATTGTTCAGTTAACAACCCCATGCTGGGGATCTGTGTATATAAGTATGTGTAAACCCCTAATAAAGTTCTTGGTTTCATCTTTCATCAAGTCTCGACTGATGTTTGCGTGGGCTGCTATTAATCACCAACGATTTTGCAGGACTAGGAGAGCAGTTTTGGCAGAGATACTTTGTCAAGCATTGGAGCTCTGCCACACAAGTTAACTATGTCAGTCCATTTTTAAACACCCATACACCCTGGGACAGTAGTCACCGTCTCTGGGGATGGAAGACAGACACAATACGGCTGTTGGGGCTTAAATGTGTGTGCTATATCTATTAAAGTTAGTTGCTGTTTTAACCTTCACCAAGTGTCATCTGGTGATTGGTCCAGGGTGGTAAAGGCCCTCAGTGATCCCAGTTAAGCCTCGGCGACTGGGTCTGAAGTGCTCCAGGATTCCTGATAGCTACAAGGAAGCAGACTTGGCGGAGGTATTTGGTCGGAGTACTGAAGCTCCACCACACACCTCTTTTCCAGGAATGCAAACAAGAGTTGGCTAAGTAGCAATCCTTGCATTTATCCTAGGCAGGCAAGATAAGCACCATCAAAATGCAACTCCTACGCATTTTGTATATTTCTTGGTTATTACCAATATCTATACCAGTCACCTTTTGCAAGACTCTATGCGTTATGCACCACATTTATTTGGGACCAACATAGGGCTAAGCTACCATAATCTTTATTACAAAAGCCCTTTTTGTGCACGGTGGGGGCCATGGGTCTCCTCAGAGTCTTTGGTAGACACTAAAACGTATCACAAAGACAATAGTACTATTATTTCCCACTACAGTGTTTACATTTACTATATTGGACTGTTTTCTGGCCCCTTGTGGGTGCACAGAAATACTATCTTCTGGTAGCTCCCCTCTCAGCGTTGGCTGCAGTCTCTCCTTACATAAGTGGACAAAAGCAGGAGTCAGAAACATAGACAAATCACTATCTCAGAGAAAACTGTCAACCTTCCCGCAGCTGCAGAACACCTTCAAATTGCCACCCTGCTACATCTTCCCCTATTTACAAATTAAGAGTGTGAAGGAGCTCCCTGTACCCTAGCTGGGTACCTCCGCCAAGCTTGCTTCCTAGTTGGAACCGGGAAACCTGAAGCGCTTCTTCCACCCGACCAGGCTGCACCCCTTTTTCCAAGCAGGTATCGTCCCCTCTGCCTATTCGGCTGCAGCCCTTCATACAGGCAGGTATCGTGCCCTCTGCCTATTCCTCTGCAGCTTCCCTTCCAGGCAGGTATTGTCCTCTCTGCCTATTCCATTGCAGCTCTCCTTCCAGCCCTCAGGCCTTGCTCTTTTAATTTATCCCAGGGCTAAAGGGATCCTGCAGCCAGCAAACAGGTCCTGTCACTGAGATCCCTAAAAATCCACACAAGACACAAGTTCCAAAAGGAATTAACATACAAAACTTTATTTTTTCTTGGGACTGGCCAATATGCTCCTTACATGTAATTTAAGGTGACAATTCAATAAAAATACAATTAATCAAAACATATCAGAAAACATACAGGGAATTATAATAATCACAATAACATATCTACAAAGGGATGGGGAAGTCAATAACCAACCCTACCCCTAAACCTAACCCTACCTCTACCCCAACCACTAACCCTACTCTAACCCCTAACCCTACCCTCTCCTGTTTTGCCACTTTTCAGAAATCCGAAGCACTTCGGCACTTTGGTATTCCGAAATTCGTCACAACGGCAATTCGGTTCGGTTCGGTATTCTGAAATTCGGCACTTCGGAAATTCAGCAATTCGGACATTCGGGAGCATCCGAATGTCCGAATTTACGAAATTCATCTGAATTTGCATTTAGAACAAAACGAATTGCACATGTCTAATCCCTAACACATTCACTTTTAGAGATTCCAAACTGCATTTATCTATATTACTTTTTGAAATTCTTTAGTTTTAGAATGCAGTGGGAAGTTTAAGCTTTTGTAATGACATATGACAAGATGTATAATGACAATATTTAAACATATAAGGTCAAGATGTGCTGCACTTTTTTTTTGTGTAATGAAAACATGCGTATTCACAGTATGCCAATATATGAGTAGTAAAGAAAAAGGGCCACGCAGATTAACAAAAGACAGCTGATATAAACTAGAGGTAAACAAAAGTAAACATGCTGCACAAATGAGCAACTTAATCTAGCGTTTGTGAAATACCACTGGGCATGAATACAAACGAGGAATAATAATAGGTAGCCACTGGGGTTCCACTTTTAAATTATCTAGAGTGCGTAGGGATATCACTTGGGGGCTATTGCTTGTCAAGAGGGCTGGACTGGCCCACTGGGATACCGGGAAATTTCCCGGTGGGCCGTCGGCACCTGGGGCCGGGCAGGCAGCTGGCTGACCTGCGGCCGCAGAGGGAGCTCCTTTGGCGGCCGCAAGGGGAGCTGGCTGTTCTGTCTCTGCTCCCCCTCCCAAGCGCGCCGCTTAATGAAACCGGGGCCGGAATATGACGTCATATTCCGGCCCCGGTCTCATTAAGCAGTGCGCTGGGGAGGGGGAGCAGAGACAGAACAGCCAGCTCCCCCTGTGGCCGCCAAAGGAGCTCCCTCTGCGGCCGCCAGAAGAGCCAGCTCCCCCATGCGGCCGCCATCAGAGCTCCCCACAGGTAGAAATTGTGTTTGTCAGTGTGAGTGTATGTGTGTGTGTGTGTGTGTGTGTCTGTCTGTCTGTGTCATGGTGTGTGTGGGTGTGTGTCTGTGTCATTGTGTGTGTCTGTCTGTGTCATGGTGTGTGTGTCTCTGTGTCATGTGTGTGTGTGTCTGTCATGTAATGTGTGTGTCTGTGTCATGTAATGTGTGTGTTTGTCATGGTGTGTGTGTCTGTATGTCATGGTGTGTGTGTCTGTCTGTGTCACGGTCTCTCTGTGTCGTGGTGTGTGTGTGTCTGTGTCACGGTCTGTCTGTGTTATGGTGTGTGTGTGTGTGTGTGTGTCAAGGTGTGTGTGTCTTTTTTAAGGTGTGTGTCTGTCATGGTGTGTGTCTGTCTGTGTCATGGTGTGTCTGTCTGTCATGGTGTGTGTGTGTGTTTCTGTCTGTGTCACGGTGTGTGTGTCTGTCATGGTATGTGTATGTGTGTTTTTACTCACCTTTCCCCCCCCCACGTCGTGCTGGTCTCCCCTCGACTGGCCCTGCCTCTACAGGTGAGATCATCAAGCTTGATGATCTCAGCCAATCTGCACTGACACAGGAAGAACCTCTAGTGACCGTCTGAGTGTCTGTCACTAGAAAGCAATGTAAATACTGCCTTTTCGCTAAAAAGTCAGTGTTTACATTGAAAAGCCTGCAGGGACAGGCTATAGACACCAGAGCCACTACATTAAGCTGTGTGTGTGTGCGCGCCTGCTAGTGAGTGGGCTTGCTTGTCTGTGTGTGTGCCTGCTACTGAGTGAGCTTGTGTTTTTATGTCAATGACCTTATGTATATCAGTGAGATTGTTTGTCTATGAGGCTGTGTATCAATCATCTTGTGTCGGTGAGATGGTCTGTGTCTGCATGTGAGTATGCTTACTGTATAATTAAACATTTTACTCTGAAAGGACCAATATTTTATATTGGAAAAAGATATATATATATATATATATATATATATATATATATATATATCTCAATCATCTAGGGTGGCAAGACATAGCCTTACATATTACATGCGACAATATATGGCGCAATGACTTATGGGGCTGGCATAGATTTTTTT